CCCTCTTTTACTGTTACCTCTGCAATTAACACCATAATGTTATTTAGTTTGGGAGAAAGGACCGCAAGGTAAGAAAAGAGATTCTTTAAAAAAAAAATCCACAACAACAAAACAAAAAGACTTGAGGAATAAGCAAAAATCAGTTTAAACAATTTGCTGCTGAAAATAAAACCTTATGTCAGTACAGTAAACTGAGTCTGCTATAGTTAGGTAAGAGCTCATAATCTTGTTACATAACTTAAAGAATTACCAAATGTTCACATTTTCAATTTTTACACCTATAGATCTAAGAAAAAATTCAAAGCCTCTGCCCTCCCTAAACTTGGTGTTCTGTCAGAGGCATAACTTTGACATCCTTAAGTTCAAGACAAAATAGTCTTCCTTAGCTGAGTAGCCCTTCAGGACATGAATGTTTCAAGGAGTCACTCATTTCCATCTCTCTCAGAATGCTATACACTGGGTTTTTATCTATTTTACTTTATAACAACATATATTCAGCCTAAAGAAGTTTCAGCTCAGGCAGAAAAGTTAAGTTTTTCAAAAATCACCTACTCTTAAGCTTGTCTTAAAATAAATTACCTTGTCTAATCCAGCTAATTCATTTTTTAGTGCTCTCTTTTCTGCAGACAACTTTCCATTTTCTTTCTTCAGCTTTTTAATCTCCTTCAACAATAGCTCTATATTCAAATGAAAAAATGTAGAGTTCAACCATTACAGTCAACCTCCCCCTCATATGAATCATATTACAGCTAAAGAGCTGCCTATCTTTTGTGATATTAGAAAATTATAGTTCAGCTTCTCAAAGTACCTTTTTCATACAGTGATTTATTCTTAAGAAGAGCATATTCCCAGGTACTATGAAAGATATCAGGATCTGCCAGTTGGATAATCTGGATCTGCCAGATTCTTAGATGTGGGATTATTTTACAATCCACAAAACACACATCACAAGTTTTTATTATCTTTTTCAGGCTCATGAGAGGGTCACATCAGCACTTGCTGATACAAATTTCCTGAAATTTATGCCTACATTATATGATCTCATCCATCTCTTTTCTATGCTTTGAAGTGGAAGAGGATCACACCTTAAATTCTGGATTTGATTACGAGAGGAAGAACATACTGAAACCACCACTGCCCAGGCTTGGCCAATGTTTTAAGGCTAAAAACAGGTTATTCTGTGACTCAGTGTCTGAAAGCCAAAGGCTGGTGCAGCAAACATTATTATTAAGAGATCTGCACAGATACATCTTACTAGAATAAATACCAGCACTAAATACAGCCACGCACTCCCACCTCTGATTACAACAACAGATCAGTTTCAGAAAAAGAGAAAACAGCAAAGTTTTATCACAAACAAATGCAAGGAGGAATCCCAGATTACAAAATGCCATTTTTACACAACCGGTTTTCAAAAACGAAAAAAACATTTTAGCTACTGCTGGTTGAAGGAGAAGAAATAGCCTGGAGTGACCCCTGGATCAGAAATAAAATGCATTCCCTCTGCTGGGCATACTGGAAGGAACATCATCAGAATTAACTGTACCATTACCTAAGTACCTACTGCAACAGGCTTCCTTCTCTGCAGAAATGTCCTTGTGAGAAGTTACTCCTCCCTCTGGGGTTTGACTTCGTTTTCTAGAAAGAGCACTAGTTTTCCAAGAAATCTTTTTACATTCCAGTTGCTCAATTCTTTGCCTCTGCTCTTGAAGATTATGCTCTAGCTCATTAATTTTAATCTGTCAAGAAAATCTTTTTAAAATGCATAGAAAAAATGCAGCTCAACTGAACACAATTGGAAACATAACTCAAATGCAAACCTAGCATTTTCAACTGCTGATTTAAAAACTACATTCACCCAAAGGGTCTGAAAGGAAAAAAAACCAAGCACAAATGAGGAAATTAGACTGGTCAGCTGCAATGCTCGATCCAGGCCTGAAGAGGCAATAATCTCTTGAAGCTTCTAGAACTGTTCCTGGCCACACAACCCTACCTTCACTCCAGTCATGATGCCAGACTCTTTGCACAGCAGGGCCACAGACCTTGCTACCCAAAAGAACACTCTTTTTCTTCATCGGGTTTGCCTTCTGCTGAATTTCTGAGAAAAATCAGCTCATGACACATGCAGAAGAATACCAGGGCTGGTGCAAAAGAGGTCACAAGGTGCATATACAATTGGAAGGAGGGGTAGGCAGATGAGCAAAGAAAAAACCAAGGGAAGGGGAGACATCTTTCTGCTACAGACAGACCAGTGACAGAGTTCAGTTTTAAAGGGAACTACAGGCTACCCTCCAGTATCCCTGCCATGGGAAACTAACTATAAAAAGAAAAGCATGGTCTCATTGCACAAATGTAAAAATTACTTTTCAGTCTCCCTAAAAGCTTTTGTTTGGCTGTTTGATACCAACTCCAACAAATTCTACTTACAGTGAGATTTTTAATTGCTTCGCTTTGCTCCTTGTTTGTTTTGGTTTCTTTAACATAACGTTTCTGTAGCTCATTATACATCTGAAGCAGTCTAAAATAGAAATGCATAAATTGCTGTAAACATGAAAGATGACAAAATGTGGCATCATTTATGGTAAAAGTATTAGAGATGCCCCACAGAGATTACATGGCCTGTAGCTGTGCTGCAGAGACTCGTAATAGAAATATTCAAGATGGCAGTGAATGAAATGTGACTGTCAACACAGAAAGAGAAAGCACCAGAAAATAACAGCAAAGCAAGTTAAAAGAATCGTTTGTATGATGGCAAAGAATCCTTTTTACTCAGCCAGACTGAGGATCCTGTTGTTTTTGTCCAGCACACATGGCCACACCCCAATTAAACCTCAGTGCAAATCACTCTTTGAGGGAAGACAACAGCAACAGGAGGCTGGCAGTGATTTTGCAGCATGTCAAATACAGCATTCCTCTCCCCATCAGCACAACAGGAATAGCAAAAGGACACTTCTAAAGGATTTAAAAAAGTTTGTCCAGCACAAATCAGGAACCGCATGATGAGGACACATGAGGCAGTTCCCAGCTCTCTGTGTTGCACAAAACATCTCATTGCTTTCCAAGTGTGTGGGTGTGAGGATATGAGTGAATGAAATCTATGTGAAAATGAGTGGGTAAAATAAATGTCAAATAAACAGATTAGGGCTGTTAGCTTTCCCTCTGATATTATTTTGCATCATGTTCTGTTGTACTAATTTCCTACCATATTTCATAGCATTCAGCAAACATACACGAGGCCCACAGTTCAGCTGATGGACATGAGCAGACATTTTTCCTGTTTTTTTAGGAATTACAGTAAGAGCTGCCATTCATAATAAGTCATGACTGCATACCACAAGCAGGATGAGCAATACTGCAGCACAGCACAGCTTTGTGAAAGAACACACAAACAAAAGCTAGGAAAAAAAGCTAGGTCGGGTTATCTATGCAATGTAACACAAGGCAGGTACAGCACTCAATTCAAAGACTAACTTGGACTTCTTCCATATGAGCACCTAACTAGGAACTCAATTTGAGCCCAGAGCCAGCCACCCAGCCTTCCTATGTAACTATGCATCTTGCAAAGAGAGTCCAGCACACTGTAAAGATATTTAAAAAAAAAAAAAGAAAATGGGTCTCCTACAGCCACCTAAAGGAAACACTAAAAACAGGGCACTTGGCCAAAGAGCAACAGAGATCTGTGTAAGATCCACATTTTACAATTTTACAATCAAGTCATAGAGGGACAGAGCAATATTTTACGTAGCTTGCCTAGTTGTTAAAATGATCCAGTATATTTTTTCTTAAGGACAGAATTGTAGCTTTTGCATCAGAAAAGCAGTTACAAGACTTGAATTCTATCACTTATTGGCAAACTACAGTAAGTAGTGGCTCAGCTCTAAAATTATTAGACTGAAAAGCAGAACTGCTTCTCTAGGTTATTTCAAAACCAGCCTATAAATTTTATATGCACAAAACAGTGAGCAATATAAAATGAGGTGAGAAGGGTTCCACAAAATAGATGTGAAACTACAAAATTCTAGGTTAAAAAATCTACAAAAAAGATCATATGTGTGCATAAAGACACATAAAAGAGGTTTCTAGCTCATTGACTTTTTCTCAATGAACTACTTGAGAAAGAAATCCAGTTTGCCCTTTGCTTGGTGCTATTTTCAAGTTTAACCCAAGATTTTGTCATTATTTTTAAAATGTGAATGATTTCCCACTGTTTCAAAGGCTGAAAGCCACTTGCATAACAGCTTTAAAAAAATCAACTGACTTAACCATGAACATTTTCTACACTACAGAGAAGAATAATTCTGTGAAGAAGCAGCTTCCAAGAACTCACCTGACACTGTCACTCTCTAGAACCATATCCTTGCTGTCTCCACCCTTATGCCATAAATGGGCTTCTGTTTGAACCTGAACACTTAATTGAAACAAACACAACAGCTTCATAAAATCATATTTCACCAATTTAATTTAATTAAACCAAGCAACTGAAAAAGGCCAAATTACAGTCTGATTTTATGGTAGAGGTTTCCAGGCAGGATCATAAAAACACCAAAACTTAAGCCTTGGAAGATTCTTGTGAGCTGGAGTGTAAATCCTGGCAAAACACTCTCCAAACCACTAGCACTACAGTTTTTCTGGCCCTTGGATTCTAAATCTTTTAAACAGCATTGATGCTACTCAACTTTTCTTTATCTTACAACTTTTTGGTGGAAAAATAGTGTAAAAGCCTTTGTAGTTTGATAGAGAGAGCATACTGGCTAAGCTGGAGTATTACTTTTTGATGTTAAAACTGTTTCATTCACTACAATAAATGTTGTACAAGATGCCCCAGATCCTTTGTTCCTCTAGAGACCCCCAGCATTTTCCACCCCACCATCCTGTTCACAGATGGCTCCTTAAAATACACATAGCAGATAATGCCCAGCTCATCTTAAGGTCATGCAAATAAAAGTCCTGAAACGCTGCACTTCTTTTGATGCAAAAGAGAAACGTTTGACAATTCTTACTCTCTGCTTGTGCCACAGACATGCACTAACTGCTGCAGATGCAGTTGTTCTTGGATCTGACCCAGATTCCTTTCTAGCTCCTTATTTTTTATGTGTAGTTTTTTCACCTTCTTGACTAACTGCTCATTTTCATCAGCGAGCTGAAAAGGAAGAGAATTGAAAAACGAAAAATCAAGGAACACTTTCAAATCAAATACTAATTAAGCTGATAACGCTTCAAATAAAAACCCTCTCCCAAAGACTTTACTACATTTTTTCTAAACCATAGAAGCATCTAAAAGGAAAATGGTAGGAAAAGCAACTGGCTTCAAATTTTATGAACATCTGACTACAACATAGCTTCTTTAACAGGTATCTATTACAGGTGTCTAATATAACTTCATCATTCATTAAGGAACGTAGGGAACTGGTTTTGCATTGAAAATTAATCACAGAGGGACAAAGTACCCAAATTAAACTGTCAACACCAGCTCTGCAACTAAGCTGGTGTTTATTTTTGATTTAACCTCACCAGAGACAGAAAGGCAGCCACGATGGCTGAACTTCTTGCGTGCAAGCCTACTGGACCTTGCCCAGCAGTATGCAGCCATACATATATTTATATATATATATACACACACACACACATATATATATATATATATATATATATATTTGAGATATTATAGTAATTTCAGGGAATATATAGCTATATGCACTTTGTGTATATAATTATATGTGCTATTCATTAATGTATATATAATATATATGTATATATTTGTTGCATATATAATATATAAAGCTATATATAAGGCAATATATTATACATACGTAATACATATAACTGTATTTATAGCTATATATATAACATATATAGGGTATGCATATATATACAGCATTTATATGTACATATATTAATTAATGTGTATATAATATATAAAGCTATATATAAGGCAATATATTATACATACAACTGTATTTATAGTTATATATATAACATATATATGTTATATATATATGTTATCTATATAAAATATATATATATAACATATATAACTATAGGGTATGCATATATATAGCATTTATGTGTGCGCGTGTGTATATATATGTATGTACATACATAAAACTATCATTTACATATATATATAGATATATATAGATATATATAGATATAGATATACAGAGGTATATATGTGTATTGCTCTATCCTACAGGGTACTGATCAAACCCGATGCCCTGGGCCAGCACCGAGCCCCGCTGCACTCTCAGCCTGAGCTCGGCGCCGAAGGCAAACCCAGCCCAGCTCCTGGGGCTCCCGGGAGCAGGGGCCGCACTCACTTGGAGGCACCTGTGTACATATAATATATAAAGCTATATATAAGGCAATATATTATACATACAACTGTATTTATAGTTATATATATAACATATATATGTTATATATATATGTTATATATATAAAATATAAATATATAACATATATAACTATAGGGTATGCATATATATAGCATTTATGTGTGCGCATGTGTGTATATATATGTATGTACATACATAAAACTATCATTTACATATATATATAGATATATATAGATATATATAGATATAGATATACAGAGGTATATATGTGTATTGCTCTATCCTACAGGGTACTGATCAAACCCGATGCCCTGGGCCAGCACCGAGCCCCGCTGCACTCTCAGCCTGAGCTCGGCGCCGAAGGCAAACCCGGCCCAGCTCCTGGGGCTCCCGGGAGCACGGGCCGCACTCACTTGGAGGCACCTGTGTACGACGGGCAGCGCCATGGCGAGCGCCGGGACAGCGGCCGAGAGAGGCCCCGGGATAGGCCGGGATAGGCCACCGGAGGAAGCCGGGATGGGCGGGATGAGGTCCAGGATAGGCCGGGACGGGCGGGATGAGCCCCGGGATAGGCCGGGACGGGCCCCGGATAGGCCGGGATAGGCCGCAGGAGCAGGCCGGGATGGGCGGGATGAGGCCCAGGATAGGCCGGGATGGGCGGGATGAGGCCCAGGATAGGCCGGGATGGGCGGGATGAGCCCCGGGATAGGCCGGGATGGGCGGGATGAGGCCCAGGATAGGCCGGGACGGGTCCGGGAGAGGGCGCGAGCAGGGACGTCAGAGCCGAGCGACGCCAGGCGCTTCGGGTGCGCCGCCGCCGCCGCCGCCGCCGGCCTCCCTGCGGGCCGGAGCGGAGCTTTCCCTGGCCCGGGGCGGCCGGGCCTGCTCCGGCACCGGCTGCGGCCGGCGGGGAAACGCCCCCGTCCCTTTTCCATTGTCATTAGTGCGGTGGAATAAGGCGTGTTTTGTTCACTAAGAGATTAAAGCAGATTGTGAGAGTACATAACAGGAAACAGACCCTCGTCTCTTGAACATATCCCCCCTGCTCAATGACCTTTAAGTTTCAGGAAGGCAAGCAATAATACCAAATAAGGCAAGGGCCGCCCAGAGGACACCTGAGGAAGACTACTGGCCTTCATCCAAAGACCACCAGGAGGCAGAATACGAGCCCCTAGCAACAGGAGCACACATGAGCAGAGAACAACCCGAAGGACACATCAACAGGAAATGAAGCAGCGTAAAGCGGCAAGGGAACCGACTACGGTCGCGGCAGTTGGCGGAGCGGGGACTCCCCTGTCGCCCAGCGCTGATATTTGCCTATGCCTTGCTTGCTGTAATTAATAAATTCCTTTTAATTCGATCACGCCGTTTAAGTGTGTCTCAATCTATCACAATTTGGTGCCGTGGCTCGGATGGGAATGCTACGGTAGCACGGACCTGCCGGGGAGGCGCCCCACCACTGGTGGCCTCGGTAAGTCTTGTACCTTATCCCACTCCCACCGACGAACCTAAATTCAAGGTATTAAGCCAAGGAGGACCGGTCGACCCTATAAACTTTGTGCACAAAGGTCCGGACGAAGACGCAGGACGCGTGAGTATCTGTGCTTTGGCCTTTTATTTGTGATTGGATAATTGGGCAAACATAACACTAAGGGAATCCGTTCGGTCGGGGTCGGGTATCTTGGAGTGTTGCGAGTGGTGTTGTGTCTGGGAAGGGGGGCCGGCAGCTCGGACTGCCCGAGTGAGTGCGGACCCTCAGCGGTGCGGTTGCCATTGCCCGCAAGGGCGTGGGCCACGAACCAGGGGAAGCGAGTGGGTAAGCAAGGGCGTGTGAGTGCACTCCAGAAGATGGGGCAGGGGAAAAGCAAGCCCTCTGTACCTGTGAAACTTCCTCCAGTGCCAAGGGGGAGTCCACTGAGGTTTATGTTAGATAATTGGAAACATTACTCTAGCACAGGGGGTAAGGATAAGGCCAAAATTATTCATTGTTGCATTGAGATATGGGGAGGAAAGCAGATATCACTAAATGTTTACTGGCCCATCTTCGGGTCAGCAGAAGATTGGGTCAGGCAAGATTTGAATTTATGGGTCAGTACTAAAACTCCCTTCAGCCAGGAAGAAAGTGATTATGCTAAAATATGGGTAGAAAGGCCCAGCAGCGGGGTACATCTCCTTTTTTGAAGGAAAAACCAGAAGGCAGAGGCCCCAAGAAAAAGAATAAAAAAGAAGAAGTCCCACTAGTTCCACCCCCTTATATACCTGCACCCCCGCAAGCCCCCACCACACCGCCTACCCAAGCCCAGGCCGGGGACTTGGAGGATGAGGACCCAGTAATCCCTCCTTACCTTTTTGAACCAGGGGGGCCGAGGACGAGGAGCAGAACCAGACAACACAACCTCTACCCACTCAGAGAAATGCCCATGGGAGGGCCCCAGCCAGGCATTGCTTTTATTTCGGTTCCCCTTAGCTCAGGAGACGTAAGAGACTTCAAAAAGGAGATGGGGAGTCTGCTTGAAGACCCTTTGGGAGTTCTGGAAAGACTAGACCAATTCCTAGGCCCAAATACCTATACCTGGGAGGAATTACAGGCAAAGGATTGATAATTATAGCAATAAAGTAAAATTTTTATACAACAAACTCAGTCAGGATGGGCTATTGAAATGGAGCAGGGAGGATGAGCAACAACTAGAACAACTGCAGCATGATTTAATAAATGCCCCAGTCCTAAGCTTGCCGGATCTAAAAGGGCCATTCTATCTATTTATTAACACTGAGAACGGCACAGCACACGGCGTATTAACCCAGGATTGGGCTGGGAAAAAAAAGCCAGTAGGATATTTGTCTAAACTACTAGATCAGTGAGCAAAGGCTGGCCCACCTGCCTCCTGGTGGTGGTAGCCTGCGCTCTCCTGGTAGAAGAGGCCAATAAAATCACTTTTAATGGGGAGCTTAAGGTACTATCCCCACATAAAAGCTGATAAATGGATAACCGACTCAAGACTTTTGAAATATGAAGGTATCTTATTAGACTCCCCTAAATTAACCCTGGAAGTAACAACTTTGCAAAACCCTGCTCAATTTTTATACGGAGAACCTGATGAAACCAAGCTAGCCCATGATTGTATGATAACTATAGAAGAACAAACCAAGATAAGACCCGATTTGGAGGAAGAAGAACTAGAAGAAGGGGAAAAACTATTTGTAGATGGATCATCCCAAATGGTAGATGGGAAAAGGGTGTCTGGGTACGCAATTATTAGTGGGAAAGGATACAAGGTCTTGGAATCGGGACCCCTAAGTAAGTCCTGGTCAGCCCAGGCATGTGAATTATATGCAGTAATTGCAAGCCTTAAAGTTGCTACGGAATAAAACAGGGACAATATATACAGACTCCAAATATGTATATGGTGTAGTGCATACCTTTGGGAAAATTTGGGAAGAGCGGGGTTTAATCAACTCCCAGGGAAAGGACCTAGTACATCAAGAACTTATAAAGCAAGTACTCCAAGCCTTGAGGGAACCAAAGAGAATTGCAATAGTAGGTACATCAGGCACATCAGAAAGTAAGGGCACATCAGAAAGGATTGGATTTTAGAAGCAGGGGAAACAACGCAGCCAATCAGGAAGCAAAAAGAGCTGCACTTTGACTCTACAGCAAATTCAAAAGGAAGACATCACACAATGTCCCTGTAGGCGCTGCCAAGAAAATCCACTAAGAAAGTGCCGGACCTGTGAGGATGATGACCCCTTTGATGAAGGGAAAGATTGTCCATGTTACAACTGCCGGGAAGACCCGATGA